GCGCGCGTATACCGTTCGAGCGGCCACGGTAGCGAAGGCTACGCGCTAGGCGGCCGCGTCAATGTCCTTCGATGCACGTCGAGTCACTTGTTCGCGTACAAGCGCGGCCGCCAGCGCGTAGCCTTCGCTACCGTGGCCGCTCGAACGGTATACGCGCGCTCTGATTGGTCGGGGTTTTCTCTTAATATCTTCTTAACGAAGCCCCATCCGACATTTTTGCAAAGGAAATTGTTGTTCAGAATCGTCTCAGCTACCCCCCATTTCCGGCTCCTCCCCGACTTTTGGGACACCCTGTATACATGTATGTGCAGTTCTGACAATATATGTAATATATTGTCATCCCCTCATCTATTTCATTCTCCAATTCACATGTCAGCTAAAGTCCTCCTCTTATTTGTATAATACAGTATTGGTATCGATTAAGTGTTCATTACGTACATAATGTTATCGAAACATGTGTACCTGTTTCACTTGACTATCAATAATGTTTACACTCCATCGGTCTTACCACTAAACAAGCTTTTTTAAATTAAATTTATGACATCCTTTAATTGTGTGTTCCATGTTCGTATATTGTTACAATCGAAATGCAAAACATCCAAGTATTTCAAGATTTATGTACAAAGTTTATTTCTTGTAGAAAAAACATAAAGTCACTTTTAGTTAGATTTATTTGCAGAAGTTCAAAACTTTAAATGAAAACCACCGCCGACGGGCGGCTGTCTTCCACCTTCTGTGAGTCCCATGTGAAAGCCAGAATTACTTAAATCGGCATCGTCGCCATCTCCTAATTGTTTGTACTCTTTGCCACCACTTGGCGGTTTGGGAGAAGCGTTTGCTGTTCTAACCCCGAGTTCCGACTTGGCCGGCCACGTGGGAAACATCTGAGGATCGATTGGTAAGGGTGCTTCTGTGAAGTAACCATGCTTTAAGGCGTCTTCCGACGTTATTCGTTGCGATGGATCGTACGTGAGAAACCTGGAAAATAATATATTTCTTTTTTAAAAACCATTAGGACCAAGTGGAATTGTTGAAAGATCAATTATCTTAAGTTAAAAAATCAATTTATTACGCAAATGTTTGAAATTTAATATTTAGTTTGAAATAAATGTCATTGAACGAAAGAAATATACTTGTTTAACAGCTCGATCCCCAAATCCGACAAAGATAAGCTGAAGCGCTGCCTCAAATTGTTTACTGGATAATGAGCGAATGGAATTTTCTGCACCATTGGTAATTTACTATATCCTGGCCATATCCGATCATTTGGAGTACCTAGTTCCTTGAATATCCTATTCAATTGATCAATCTCCGATTTACCTGGAAACAGTGCCTCCATTCTTAGTAATTCCGCAAAAATGCATCTAAAAAATAATAGTACTTCGTTGACCAACGTTGATGTGGAGAAATAAGATATCATTGATTTCTTTAAATTTTTACTTACCCTACAGACCACATATCAACAGGAGTACTGTACTCTTTCCCGCTCAGTAGCAATTCAGGAGCTCTGTACCAAAGCGTTACAACAATCGGAGTATACTGTCTCAGAGGAGAACCGTATTCTCGCGCTAAACCAAAATCACCAACCTTTAAGATGCCCCGATGACTTAGCAACAAATTCGATGTTTTCAAATCACGATGGAGTATCCAATTGTCGTGTAAATGAGCGACAGCCCGCAACAATTGTTGTATAAGGCACTTCACCTCCCCTGGAAAAAAGAGTATATACTTCCATTATTCCATTTAACGACCAAACACATACCGATATTAATAAAATAATTGATTAAAGCTAAGGACAAGCGTATAAAACATTAACGTTGTGCACTATAATTGTTTTCTTATACTTTTTGAATAAAATTGTGTTCCACTAATTTGTTTTATTAATCGTATATGACTATGCAGTATCGCGTTAAAAGTTTCACGAAAAAACAGTTTAGTCATGCTAGAGTTGTCCTCGCAATGTAAAGGATTCATTACATAATTATAATATATGTTCATCGAATAATAAATTATTTTAGCAAAAAAGTAAATTTTTGCTTATACTAATAGTATCAATTCGGTATCATTCTCATTGTTATCCAGCAAACGTTTACCTGGTATGAAAACTTGTTTCTTTTGCTTCATCGTTTCCATCAATGATTTCAGATCATGCTCCACGTAATCCATTACAATAAATATTTTATCCATATTGCTACCGACGACTATTTCACGGACAGTAACAATGTTCGGATGTTGTGCCTTCAACAAAGTATTTATTTCTCGCAGACTGGTGATTGGGAATCCTTCCTTCTCTTTCTCCATCTTCAATCGCTTCAAGGCAACAATTTCGTCAGTGCGTTTGTCACGCGCTCTATATACCACGCCATATGTACCTTCTTCGATGCGATTTAGACACTGAAACTCCTCAACGCTTCTACAGCCTACGACAAAATGAAATATCGTGGGAGTTAGTTTCCAAAAAGGTGATGTAAATAATTGTTGTTCTATCGCTCCTTTAGTCTATTGTTATAATTCTAATTCTACTCTGCAATAGAGAAACGAAAATTACTGATCGTTATCTAATCTAAAACTTTTTGTTTTACCTTGAATCGCTGGTAGATATGGCGGTAGTTCAGGAACTTCCTCTTTCTTTTCCTCTTCTTCTACAACTTTGTTTGCGCCATTTGAATCGACATGTCCAGGTGAATCCCCGTCGGAGTGATCGGACTTAGCTAATCGATCGACGGATAAAGGACTAGGATTATTATAGTCAGAACCATCGTTAGAATCAGCATTTGAACCTTTGTTCGAATCATTGGATTCATCATCATCCTCGGTGCTGGATTCAGACGAATCGGATGAATGTCTGTCAGAAGATCTTTCACGTATACTTCTTTGACCATCAGACGAATGCCGAGATCTACATATATACAAAAATCAGACTGGTTACCAACTCCACAAACAACATACTTATTTCTAACGAGCAACATAAAGTAGTATCCATTACTTTTCCTAGCACATTTCTTTTTCGGCTGCATTTACATATACAGTGGCTGTAGAAAGTATTCGTACATCGATCAATTTCCAAAAAAAAACTATGTAAAATTGTAATTTATTAACTTATCTTTTACAAATAATGACATTCTACATATTCTCGGAAATCTGTAGAATAGATAGAGTACAAAAAAAAAAATTAAATTAATCAATAGAAATATTGAAGCAATGAATTTTTGCACAACTGTTTCAGTTTTAAAACTTCGTTTAAAAAAAAAGAAATTTACATTAATTTACACGTATATAATACTTCCTTCGTGGGATTTCCTTTTGATTTTATAATTATTGCAACTCTTCTAAGCGTTAAATTAACTAAATTATTAGTTATTCGAAGTGGGATCTTCTTCAATTCCTCTATTAGAGCCATTTTTAAAAGTATTTTCCTGGAAATTTGATATTTTCTAATTCTGATGGAGCAATAAACTAATGTGTTTACGTTAGAAACTCTACTGTAAATGGTTCGTCATAAATAGACTGCGGATCTGTATGCATTTATAGGAAATTTGAACGTGCAAGAAATTACAAAATGGAAACAATATGCAAGCATATAATAAAGATTGAAAGTAACGTTCGTGTTATAATATTTGCAGAATAAAATAAATTCCTATTTAGGTTCAATTTTTGTAGGCACGTTCGCGAAGATTTTATTTTGCATAAAGATTTGGTCTAGTCATAAGAATCGTACAAATACTTATTGCTTCTATATTTTTACTCACCTTTCGCATTTTTTTTGTTAATTTCACAAATTATTTTAACTAGTAAATGTTGTTTGGACTACATCTATCTTAGAGACTTTCGAAAATATGTAAAATATCATTGATTATAAAAGAAGAAGTTAAGAAACTACAATTTCACGCAAAAGTTTTTTAGGAAATTGATCCGTGTACTAATACATTCTACACCCACTGTATCAAGTATAACAACTTCATATAAACTGAGTAAGATATAAATAAAGTGTTCAAGTACACAAGCGCTTTTTAAAGACGTGAAAATCGACATAGAATACATTATGTGTTTATTGAAAGTTCTTTGAAATTGGCAATGACTTTCTAAAATTAACATACTATAAAAACTTACTCTACGGATTTAGAACGAACTTCGTCCGAATGAATAGGACTCGGACTTTCATCCGACAGTTCTACAACCGATGGATCTTGATTGTTTTCAGGACTAAGGGGTCGTTTCTCTCCTCTCTTCATTCGACGTGCTTCCAGCTCCAATCTAGAGACTTCTTTTCTCCTGGCCATTTCTCTATCAGCTTCTAATAACCTTTCTTTCCTAAGCTCCTGCTCAGTCATTTCCTTCGGGTCCTTTGGTTGGATTTGTATCTCATTGATCTCCATTTCGTCAGGATCCTCCGTAACAAGCTCCATTGCTTCACGTAGTTGTTTTTCTCTGTGCTCTTTTTCTCTTTCTGCTTTTTCTCTGTCCCTGTCACGAAGCCGATCGTGCTTATGGGATCGTTTGTGACGCTTCTCGCTTCTCACCGGCCGTTCTATAAGCTCTGTTTCAGAATATTGTTCTTCTATCACTCGTATGTGTCTATGTTCTTCCATACGAATATCGCGACGCTCCCTTATGTCATCCACAATAGCACGAAGCTCACGACGCTCCCGTATATCCTCCATTCTTTCTCTGCGCTCGCGTGACTCGCGTAACTCGCGTGGATCTTCTAGACGGATTTCTCGGCGAGTATCTGCTTTATAATCTCGAATATCCCGCGAATCCTCCCGTCTCTCTCTTCGTTTATCCAGCAACCTATAAATAATATAATTCAATGATAATTCAATTTCTCATTATTGTTAAGAGATGTGTATAGATTTAACTGTAATTATCATTTGTAACAAAAATTATACACTAAATGTATCGTAGAGAAGAAGAGAAATCAATACTGACAGAAAGTGGTAATCGTATTTGCTCAGACGCTCTAATACTCAAAATACTTACTTAATACTTTACACGATTCATGTTGAGCATTTTTGTCTATCCATTACTGTCTGAGAAATTTGACTAAATATTACAGGGTTTTACAATTTGACCACAAATATCAGTAGATAAAAAAATTATGTGTCTCGTATATTTTTTAATTTATGTGCCTAGTACCATAAAAATCAAAGTATATTAATAAGGCAATGGTTCTTGTAAATGAAAATTAGTTGACGATATCCACATTTCCTGATAGTGCTACAATTTTCTTATCTCAAGACTTATCTTTTAATTTATCTATATCTTTAGTTTATCTTTACTTTATCAGAGATAAGAAATAATGAATAACAAATAACAGAGAAACCAAATAGAAATCACAAACTAAATGAAACAATTAAATTATGAAAATATTCAGTCTATTATTTGAATATTTAATATTATCGAATAATTATAATATTATGGAATAATTAACCATGTAAATCGTGAACTTATTGTATATAGCATTTTTTGTACCTTTCTCTTAAATCCTCCAAAACACGATCACCCGTGGTTCTCTCTTTTCTATTGTGCCTAGATTCCTTGTCCCTATGACTTTCTATCCTTTCTAGCCTATCCATTCTGTCTCTGTCCCTTTTGGAACCATCCGAACGGTCTGATCTCTCTAACAGATCAACGCCATGCCTACGGTGCCTGTGTTTGTCCCTGTGTCTATCTTCTCCGCGATCATGATGCCGAGACTTTCGTTCTTTCTCTTCCCTGCGGTCTCTCCTATCGCTGTGTTTGTCCCTCCTTCTAGACGAGTTAGACTTGTGATGTCGAACAATAGCCTGCGGTGGTTTTATATCCAAAGAATCTGCAGTATCACCACCATCCTCCTCTGAAAAGCTTTAAGTATACTTTTCTCAAAACAACTAATACTTAAACACACAATCACATTGAACTCGATAAACAAAAATAGTTCTCAATTTAATTAATACTAAAAAAGACATTCTACGCGAATAATTGTCTAATAAAAAGAATTTCATAACAGGATGACAGATAAATTTACAAAAAATGCAAGATCGAATCGTAAACTCGTTAATGGAAAGTTCTAAATTCAAAGCTGAATATGTATTGGATAAAAAAAAAGGCAATTAGCTATTTAGTTCGAAGGTTAGGTTTGCAAATTAAAATCACGCATCGTATTATTCGTTACCTAAAATCATCCATATCCTTCGATGGGCTTTTCTTTATTTCTCCATCTTCACTTTGATTATCAATATCCATGTCAAGTCTGTTCTCTGACATATTACGAATAAATATATTCACTTTCGATCAACAGTTCTCCGCGCATAATTACCAACGAACGGAAAAGAAAACACAAACATTCGCTATAACCGCGAAAATAATCCACACGTTTCGTAAGTAAAACGTGCTCGAATAAATAAAATTGAAAAAGAATATAATAAATTCTTTTTAATATTCGTTTAATTCACATTCGTACATACATATGTATTTCGATCACTGATCCACGAGGAAACAAACAAGAAGCACTGGGGTCCTTGGCTGACACATTATTGCATCACGTATTACTTTCTACAGATTCTCTTGAATTCTCTCTTCATCCACTGACGCCCAATCACCCACCCCAGAAGTCAGCAGAAGAACACAGTTGAACATGGCATACACAGATAGAGAATATTCTTGAATTTTTGACTATGGGTGCGTTCAGTTGCTAACTTCAGGGCTGACGCCACATCTAGTGGCAACATGTATACCCACCTTCGACCATATATACTTGTCCCAAAAATGTTGTAACACCTTGAAATGGGTGGTTTGGGAGGTGATTTGAAACAACTTTTTCCTTAGCGAAAATGTTTTCCGAGGCTTCGTTAAGGAGATATTAACGGAAAACCCCGACCAATCAAAGCGCGCGTATACCGTTGGAGGAGCCGCAGTAGCGTATGAGCGCGGCCGCCTAGCGCGTAACCTACGCTCAACCGGCATACTCGCATTCTGATTGGTCAAGATTTTCCGTTATCACGTTGACTGCCAGATAAATATTCTTGAAAATTTCTGCTACAATTAAATACTATTTAGAATATTGGAGGCAACATAATCAAACGTTTATCGTGGTATTTATTTTTGTAACTTCATCAAAATTCATGAATTTTATTCAAATTCATTTCTTTTCATGCTTGACTTTCAAAATTAATTTTTTTACTTCTTCAGTGAAAAGCACTGTCACCCATATATGGGTGACGTGGCGATCAACGTGTTAATGTCTCCTCAACTAAGCCTCGGACAACATTTTCGCTAAGGAAAAAGTTGTTTCAAATCACCCTCCGAACCCATCCATTTCAAGGTGTTACAACATTTTTGGGACACTCTGTATGCAGTCCCGGCGCAACGCAGGTTCAGCGCGTTCGCCGGAACTCGGCCCCGTATTTTGGGGGGCCCTGCGGTCTATGAAACTGTTGATTAACTTTTTACGGAATGATGATACCATTAACAGATGCAAGACATTTTTTTATTAGCGATGATTTAGTTTAAGGGTGCGCAGTAGCCAGAGCCAAACTTCGAGTTGACTTCAGCGACAGTTGCGGAAAAAGCAGGAAACTCCGGGACAAGGACAGAGAGGGCGATACAAAAATTGCAGGAGAGACGAGGACAGGACGATTAGGCTAGCTTGCTGGAAGGGACCGACGGGGTGGGGGGTACGAAGAGGAAGGCAGGTACCCCACCCACCGACAGCTCTACCACCACCGGGATAGTGGTTAGAAAAAAGAGGGCGCTTTCCGGGGAGGGGTGGACATCGGTCAACCCCCGGAAAGAAAACAAGAAGAGAAACAAGAAGAAGGCCAGGGAGGAGGTGGAGCAAGCCCCCGTGCCCCCACCCGTGCAAAATGCATGGGTCGCACGGGCTACGGACAGGGCTGCCAGGGTGCGCCTCGGTGATGCCCCTGCTCCTACACCTAGTGGTGCCAATCAAGAGGGGGGCACAGTCCCCCCCCCTCCCCGGCCCAAAGCAAACCCACAGAGGGAGGATAAGGGCCCGAAAGGAGGGAAATCCAAGGGGCCCAATCCTGGCAGTACGAAGGCTCGAAATAGAAAACGGGCCGAGGCGGTCATCATCGCGTCCTCAGCCGGGGCGAAATATGAAGAACTGATAAAGCAGGTGGCTAGCCAGCTGGGCGCCCAGAAAGGGGCGCTCAAGCAAGTTAGAAGGACCCGCAAGGGTGAGGTCCTTATGGAGGTCGACCAGAGCGGCGGGGCGGATGAGTTGCTCAAGGCCCTGGATGGTAGCATGGGGACAGCCATCTCGGCACGGGCGATTGTCCCGAGAGCGGAGGTGAAGATCCGCGACCTGGATCCCATAATGGGTAGGGAGGAGGTTTTGTCCTCCTTCTGTGCCCGCTTGGGGATCGAGCCCACGGGAGGCGTCAAGCTAAAGGTGCTCAGGCCAACCTCCTGGGGGACCCAGGTCGCGGTTTTGGAGGTACCCCTTAAGTGAGTGGGTAAGGTCACCAACGGAACCAAGATCTACATCGGGCTGGTTTCGGCCCGTTTGCGGCTGGTTCCGACGGTGACCCGATGCTATAGGTGTCACACTCTGGGGCACATTAGCGGGGCCTGTAAGGCAAAGGAGAACCTGTGCCGGAAATGTGGCCAGCCGGGGCACGACATGATGGGGTGTAAAGCCACCCCAGCATGTCGTTTGTGCCTGGACAAGGGGGCCACTCCTAAGGAGGCCGAGCATATTGCGGGGGCAAGAGCTTGCCCCATGTATAAGGAGTACCTGCGGAGAAGCGGGGGTAGGTAGGCGGTGTGATGCGCATCCTGCAGATTAACCTTAATGGCTGCAGGATCTGCTCGCCGTGACGGCGGAACGTCTTAAGGCGGACGTCGTCATGGTGGCAGAACCGTACGATATCCGCCCGGACTGGACAGCGGACCTGACCAAAAAGGCCGCTGTCTGGATTACCGGCATCGGCGGGCTGAGGGGGGTTATGATGGGGGGGAGGGGGGCGGCTGGCGACGGTTATGCCCTGGCCACGGCCGGGGGCACCCTGTTCGCCAGCTGTTACTATACCCCTCGGCTCGACCGAGAGGGGCTGGTTGCCAAGCTGGAGATGTTAGAGGCCGTCGTTATAGGAGGACACCGGCGCCGGGTTGTTGCGGGGGAGTTTAACGCGAATTCCCCCGCATGGAGATTCCGGAGGCTCGACCCGAAGGGCGTAGAGATCGCCCCCGAGAAGACAGTCGTCTTTTCGGCAAATCGAAAATGGTTAGGCCCCCCGCTCCTGGTTCCGGTTGGGGTGCAGATGGTCCCTCCATCTGAGAGTGTGAAATATCTGGAGGTAACCTTCCATCGGTCACAGAACTTCAAAGTTCATATCGAGAAGGTCACCTACAAGGCCACCCGAGTGATGTATGCGCTGTTTCGGCTCATGCCTAACATAGGCGGACCGGGCCAACGGGCCAGCGCATTGTATTATCAGGTTATGGAGTCGGTGCTGCTCCACGCCGCCCCCATTTGGGGAGGGGCTATGTGTGTGGCAACTCGACGCCAGAAAATGGTCTCTGCCCAGAGAGCGGGCCTCATCAAGGTGTGTAAGGCGTACCGGAGCGTCCCCAATGATGCGCTCCCGGTTATAGCGGGCATATGCCCCATCATCCTCAAGATAGAGGAGAAGGGGCTCATCTTTCGGCACCTCGAAGACCATGCACCCGATCCGCGGACCCGGTCCGAGACGGACATTCCGGCTGCCATTGAGCGCATCAGGAATGATGTGCTCGATAAATAGCCGGCGGAATGGGATGCCGGCGGGGCTTGCCGTGTCACCCATGCCTGGATTCCAAATATCCGGGCATGGTTGAGGAGGCCCCACGGAACGACCAGCTATTGGCTGACCCAGGCGCTTACGGGGCACGGGGTCTTCAATGCCTTCCGATACCGGATAAGCAAGGCCCCGTCCCCGGAGTGTTGGTACGGGTGTGCGGTCCCGGACACGGCGGAGCACACGCTCGTCCGGTGTGACAGATGGGCGGCGGAGAGGCTGGTCCTCGAAATGGAGCTGAGAGATGGGCTCCCCGTCACATTGAAGAGGATGGGGCTGGCCATGACGGCCCGCAAAGAGGGCTGGGTCGCGGTGGAGACCTTCGTTACGAGGGTCCTCACCGCGAAGGCAGCCCACGAGAGGAGGCTTGACCGGGAGTCTCGGATTCTGGGGGCGCCCGGTGCGCCGGCGGCTCGCGGGGCCCGGTAGAGACGGATGGTGGCTGTGGGGGATCCTGATCCTCCGCCCGGGGATTGGGCCGTCCCTGTATATAGGATGGTCCTATCGCGGGGATTCGAACTGGTTGCAACACCCGGACGTTATTTATTTTTATATATTTTATTTTATGACCTTAGTTTGACCTTTTTTAGGTTTTATTCTTACACATTTATTTATTTTATTCTTATATTTTGTTTTATTGACGTGTTTTATTTTTGTTTTAGCTTTTACTTTATTTTTACACTATTTCTTTTAGCACAGGATACAGGACAAGGCTGTTTCGGGTTCCCGCACGCTCTCGGCCTCCCCTCAGTACCGACTGGGGGAAGGTTGAAAATGATGGCACATGGGTCCCCGAGCGCTCCCAGTTCTGGCCCGGGCCAGACTAGGACACAACACCCCACTCCGGGAATAATAGTCCCTTCCCCCTGCTAGGGGGGAGGATGAGGATCCTCACCGAAACCCCTAGGAGGAATCCCCCCTTCGAAGGAATAATACCCGGAGGGATCGTGCTTGGGTGGAGGATTGCTGCTAGCGACCCCACAATTGGTGTCCCTCTAGGCCCGGGCCTGGGGGACAGAGTAGGGAGGCTTCGCCGCTGCCTCCGCCACCCTTGGACAGGTTCTACTGCCCCCCGTGCTGGCGGGGGGACTGGTGCGGCGGATAGGTGGAGTGGCCTCCCTGGCGTCAGGGAGGCCCAACGTGGGAGAAGCCACAATGGCTGCGAGGGCATGCGGTCGACAGTTGGCGACCCCTCCGGGGCGATGTAATACCTTCGGTTAAGTTCCGCCCCGGGGGGCTGTGGTGGAGGGGTTTTAGTCAGTAAGAATCTGACACTACGCCTCCAACAACATCTGCGGGGGTGTCTTATGTAAGATTTCCCCTCCACCACAGTACAAAAAAAAAGAAAAAAAAAGGACGATTAGGCTAGCATGATTTTTTTCCAGGATATTGAAGCAAAGAAGCAATATTTTCTAATAATTCTGGTTTTAATATATTCGTTACACTTTGGCGGATGCGACTCCAAGGCCTGATTTTGCAATTTCGGCCTTCAAACTTTATAAGCAATAAAATGAAGATAACAAACATACTTTTATTCGTCCAAAATTTCAATTCGCGTATGCACAACTGCATACTCGTAACTTTGGCATAGGAGATGTTGGTTACGGACTACACTATAGCTTGAGCGGTCCATGTATGTATGGTTGAAGAATATATACCCCTAAAGAGACGCCAATATTGCTAAAACCGGCCTTGGACACAGTATAAGTACAACCAGTAGCGTTACTCCGTGTCGGCACCTTTGATGTTGGTGTCCGAAGTCCGCCATGTTCCTGGTATGCACCGCGCGCATATTTAAACTGAGAGAAAAAGAAAGGCAATTGCAAACGGTATGTATAAAACACTGAACATAAATGCCGGAATTCAAAAAACATAGTGTTTTAGTAAAAAAAACATTCTATTCATATTTTACTATAAAAAAAAAATACGTTATAGATTGTAAAAATAATATTCAGACTAAGTAACACAAATTCAAAGTTTAAAATATTACAAATTTGTAAGTATAACATAAAAGTAATGCGAGTAATCATATGAAACTAAGTGAAAAATAAAAGTGATAATATTACATGAATGTTGTAATAATTTTGTACTTCTAATACGTATCATTTTTTTATTTTATTTATAATCAACGTGGTACACTTTTGTACTTCTAATACGTATCATTTTTTTATTTTATTTATAATCAACGTGGT